AACCTCGACATCGTCCCGGGCCAGCCTGCCCACATGGCCGCCGTCAATGCGACCCTGGCCTAGGCAGGGCTGGAGGAGCAAGGGGAGGTTCAGCAAGGTTTGCAGCAAGACGCGCAGGACGTGCTGTCAGAGAAAGTCAACAGCATCTTCGTGGAAGAGGCCAACCCTTCTGACGACGAGCTAGAGCTACTCGAGAACGACGACGGCGACGATGGCACGGGGCGGGCGCAGGGGGGGGAGGGACCGCCACCGTATGCTGAGGTGTCTTCATTTTTTGGCCCGCTGGAGCAATTCGCGGAGTCTTCTGGCAATGTAGAAGCAGGGAGCTTTTTGCGCAAGGCTAAAATGTCGTTCCTTTCAGCATACGTTGCTAAACCAGCACGGCAGGCAGACATCAGGGACTTCTCGTAGATGTAGGCAACGCATGCTTTTGCAGGCCCGACTCTGCGGTACGGTAGCAGTAAAGTCTTGTCCTTTGTTGCTGTGCTGCAGTTGTAGCCCGTGTACAAGGAAATTTCTCGCCATGGTCCGGGAGGTGGTCGAGGCTTTGCAACATGTTGGTGGCGCGTTTTTTTTCTTGTTGTCTCGGCTCTGTGTGCGTGTGATGGCATGTGCGTGAAATTCGCCTCGCATGATTATCGTGGCTAAGTGGCTGAAACGGCATTTTTTTCTGATGGAAGACGTTATTGCTCCATGAATCTACCTAAACTTCACGAGGAAAGCGCTGATTAGACGATCACAATCGCCTAGCTTGCTTTTGGGCACGCCGATCCGTTCTACCACTCCACCACACGTGCATAAACAGCCCACCACATACGCATACGTGTAATACACGGCATCCTTGACTTGAACGGTGCCTGTAAGCGCCTTTTGTTTATCGTTTTCCACGATTTTTCCTCTACAAGAGGGTACCCCACTATTGAGGACTCTGATAAACGAAGGTGACCCTCTTATATCGGAACCACGACTGTACTCGAAGCAGCCCGGCGAACCTCCACGTACCTTTTTATTTTTTGTCAAATCTATATCGACGCGAAGAACGTCGTGGAACATTGCGGACACCAATCTCTTCCATTTTTGTGCGGTGCTAAAGTGCTACTTATTATCAGCTTTCCTCCCCAAGCGGAGATTTCGTCAATTTTTTTGCGAAAATATTTGAAATGACGCGGTACACGCCTTTTACGACAGCAGTAGACCAAACATACTGCAGTACTTCGTAAACAGGTGTATGTACCAGACTATGTATGGTACAACCAGGTACCTCGCGTTTTTCGTCATCCATCAGTCGTTGTCACCTACTTCGAAGTACATACGGTAGTATGCATACCTGCGAGAGAGATCCATAAGTGCACTGGACCGTAGCTATTTACGTAGTATGCATCGTACGTAAGGCGTACCTACCTGCGTTGCCAAAGGTTGTGCGATCCGTCACTAGAGAGGGTCTAGCAGGCTACTGCTGTACTGATGATGTAGTATCAACACCTGGTGCCAGGTATGAATGATGCAGGGTGGTATGATATGCATTCCCTCCCTCCGCTACGCACTACTAGGTGCTACAGCAGTACCACTGCTGTAGCAGCGTGTCTAGACACCCCGAATTTCATGACGGCGTAATCTAACTACAGGCAGCTAGATTGTTTTGTAATCTACACCACAGCTGCTACATATTTTTTCTTCCGTTAATTCTGAGTGTCTTGTCCACACGCACACGTTTTCGTACCATTTTGGACGCACCAGCAGGCAGGTTGGCATGCATGTACCTCCGCAAAAAACAAAAGTACATGTTTGTCCAAGACTCTTGTTCTGTGGAGAGTTGAAGTTGTTGTGTTTTTACACCATCACCTGAAGTAGCCCCGTGCCACGAAATCAACCTTCTCAGGTGGCTCGTGGGACGCATGCTGTCTTGGCATTTTGACCGGTTCCGATCCCTGTGTTACCTTCTGACATTCGTACTGGTCCAACGGACGCCTTGCTTGATCAGATGCTAACTATTCCAAAAGGGTACTACAAACGACACAAGAACACAGCCGCGGGGTTACCATCTTGGCGTAACAAAACTCATCTCTGGATGTTTTGTTCTGTAGGGGGATGTTGCCTTGTGTAGCCCGGGTGATGGTGTGCATCTCGCGAGAGCCATGAAGGGTGTGTGATAACCAAGCGGTGTGATTTCTATGCCGCAAACTCGCAGGAACCTAAGGGATGTGGTGAGGTACGTACCGTAATACAGGGGTTTGTATTGCCCACAGGGGTGCCTCCTCGACCTACTGTTTCCTTGCCACCTGCCTGTCTCTCTCCTGTTGAAAATCGCCAGTGTTAGGTGACACAAGGCGTCTCATGTATTATTCACCACTCGCTACGAGAGAGCACTAAATACCCAAATACGGACGTCCCTGCTTTACTCGGTCAGATACGAACCCGTTAATCACTTGCTCTCTCGCACAAGCAGCTCGGACAGATGCAGCTGTAGCCTTACCAAGAGACTAAATTGCAAGCAGTACCCCAACTCATGTGAAATATCTTGGTCGAAACGTTTGATGTCCGGAGCAAGATCTGGCTTGTACATTTCTGCTATAAGGAACATAATTACCATCTCGACACGGTCGGGCGTCATCACCCGCCAAAGATGGTTGTACACGAACCCCAGCCACGAAACTCCCTCAATCTCTTTCAATATTCGCTACTTCAGGTTACAGTGCTGTCGATTGTCATTGCAAATGTGTTCGTGGTGAGTGTGGAGGGGCGGCACGCAGGTGCGCATGGTTTCTATGCGTAAGCCCGTGCACACACATCACGCCTTGTACAAGACTCGCGCCGTGAAAAAAACGTGACTCCGTAGAAAATCGGCGGTATTGCGGTTTCAACCGTAGAATGTGTCGGAGTACCTCAGACGACTCCGTAATAAACCGCTCGTACGTATTGTTGGGAAACGGTACGGAACGGGGCGGAGCGGTTTATCCGAGGACAAGATTTTCAAGGAGCGGAACAGCTTGGTCATTTCACCAAGCGGAGCGGCAAGCGGAGCGGAGCGATTTTTGCCATCCGTGATCAACGCTGATAAATATTTGCGCTGGGTGTTGTGTCGTGTATGGTTTCCTATGTGCGTGTGTTATCTTGTGTCGTATGCGGCATGTGCATGTACATGAACATATTGCAAACTACAGGACCCAGGCCGACAAATCACTGCAACTGACGGAATGATGCTACTGCTGTAGTAGACAACTGCGATTTGCGTACCAGTAGAGTACGATATACGAGAAAACATTGCACGCCCGCATAAGAAGAAAAAAAACAAACAGCGTACAACACCCGGTGCTAATAGGTTTTGGATCTCAAACAAGGAGCCGAAGAAATACCCGGTATACGTAAGATATCACACCCCCTGAGGTCAGGACATGTGTTCACGGAGCCCATGCTGCTATCATCCCGGTGATGCCGCACAACACACAGTGACCCCTGACAGCATACAAAAGTGGCCCAGAGGGGAACATAAGCAACGCGCCCTGTATGGTTCTTCACTGCGAACTAAAAACATTTTCTATCCCGCCTTCTTGGAGGACTCTCTTTTGTTCCAGTAGGCGGTAAATGTGACGGATGAAACTATATTTCATTACATGGTAACACTTTAGCCATGGTGGAGAGAGCCCTGTTGGCGCTCATTGCCGGGGTCATGCGATCATCGCCTCACCCCCTAGCCTGGATGCCCAATCAACCCGCGTCACATCTGGTTTGGAGCAGCCAAAATGCAAGGAAGCTGACCAGCTTCTGGTTCATCCTTGCCAAACGTACAAGCCTGGGCCGACTAAAGCCTGGCATGTCGCGCCGTCCCGGCATTATAGAGCCCGGCAGTGTAGAGATGCGCGGCCAATGCTCTGTCGATGCAATTGCAAGGCGTTCCACAAGCTTTTTTCTGCAGAACAGGAAGTTCAGAATCTCAGAGTTCCTGAGTGCGTTAGTGCGTCTGTCGGCGATTTTCTCGGGATGGTTGGGTGCCATTTTTCATCCCCGCTGATGCTCCGCTGCTCTGTTCATCTCTTCCCTGTGTTTCCTCAACACCTACGGTGCCTTTCCTCTGCGCTTCTACGAACTACTTCATACGAACAGGAAAGCGCCTTCCGGACAGTCGAACCTCCGTTCCGCAATTCACAACGGCATCATGTTCTTCTCCAGACGAACAGCGCTCTCGGTCGTGGTGGCAGCAACAGCGCTTCTCGCACCGGACCACGTTAGCTTAGCCGCTACGACAACCGACCAGGTACTTGAAGTTAGCGTGAAGGAGTTGTGTGGTGTTCTGCCTTTTGGTCGGAAAGGCTCTCCATCTGCATGTGCGCCGTTTCGTAGCATGCCATCGTCAACGAATGTTGTCGTTGTTGTGGGGTCTGGTTGCCCTTGGAGAAGCGAAACGCGCCGGGGTGCCCGCTGCGTCTCAATTTGGGGTTTGCCAGAAGGGGTTCCTCACGGTCAATCCGTTTTCCAATGAACACGGAAGAGTCGAAACGAGGACCCCGTCCTTTACTCCCTCGACTCTGTCACTCTCTCTTGTCTCCTCTTTCACGGTCCCTATATTCATCGACGTACGATTGGCTGATTCACAACTATCACGCCAAGTGTGTTGCGCGTACCATTAACTTTGGTTGCTGTGGCACAATCGACCAGGACACAACAGGAACGACAGTTACCGCTACATCAATGGAACCAACCGGCACCACCTCAACGGGAACAACTCATACCGCCACGTCCATGGAATCAACCGGCACCAAACCAACGGAAACAACCGATAGCACCACGTCGTTGGATCCAACCGATCCAACCACGTCAACGCTGGAAGAAGATGACGAACCGGGCGGCTCTTACGAGGACTGCGACTTTTCGTTTGCAGGGGACGGAAAATGCCACGAAGATCTCAATACGGAGGTCTGCGGTGAGATGTGGTCCCGTCGTACTTGGTTGTTTATCCCGCTTGTCCGATTGCAGCCGCTCCTATGCAATACCCCGCTCTTACTTCTTCCATTGCCGTTGATGGCATTATCTCTAGTTTTTGATGGTTTCACCACCATCGAGGTTGGGCGAAGTTGAAGGCTTCTCGTGCGGTTTTACGTTGCTTTTTGAATATTTTACTATCCAAGCGCGTTATGGTTTGTCGCTGGAATTCTTCACCCGATTCCTGTGTTCTGAGCTGTGTACCTCCCCGTACTGGCTCTTCGAGCAAATTCACGGGTTTCGAGGGTTTCGAGGGTTTCCGAGGGTATCAGCTAACCCAAACAACTGCAGTGTACTCAGCACAATATTTTCGCTGAAGATGTGTGCCACCACTCCCGAATTACGAGGACAGCAAGTCTAGGGAGACGAAGTGTGGGGTACGGCCGGTAGAGCTTCAAGAAGTGGTATGTAATGAACACTGCTCCGTTGGTCTGGAGCTGAATCACAGAGGACCCCTGAGGAGAACCGTTTTTTGATAAATAAACCTGGCAGAGCTATTGTTGTCACCGAATGCAAGTGTAACTCGTCCGTGCCAATCAATCCAGCCCCCGGAGGCATCTCTGGGTCGCAAGAAGCCAAATTGCGTACTCTACCTCGACGGAAGAGCGCTTCCCTACAAATGCTGTCATTTTTTCATGGCACGACTAGCGTGGGTAACTGCCATGATCTTCCTCGAATGGCTTCTTGGTCCTCCCAGCACATTATTCTGTCTGTTGGACTAATTAGTCTCGGTACTAAACGACGTTCAAGTGCGGCGTTTGTTGCCACACGTCGCTGTACTTTGACCACGCGACGTCTGCCTCTCTTTCTTGCTACCCCGTCCACGTCACGCCTCCAGGCTACGACGGCGGCGATTGCTGTTCCTGCACCTGCGAGGTAAAGCTCCCGCTTTTTTGTAGATACTTCTGATGTTGCCAACGCTGTTCTGGCCAAGTCTTAAAACATAGGTTTCATATCACGTGCCATGTCCTTGGTGTTGTAGAGGTACGCCAGGCACGGTAATGTTCCGCGGGCATCGATACTCATTTTGGGTATGCCTGCCGTTCTTGCCCCCACGCAATTCGATCCCCGCAGATGCCTGTTTCGCTTTCTGACAAAATGGTTGTTTGTCGCCTTGAAAGCAGCCTGGGGCCTTCAACTGCGGCGGGGACTACAACTGCATCGATCCCGAAGCCGTGTGCGTGGAAGATGACGATGAGGATGGCGGGGAAATGACGACCGCGGAGCTAGGTACACGTGACATTCAGACATCCGTTTGACGACTGGTGCAGTTGTCCGACGGGCAAACCTCTCACGGTTGTAATCAAGCCACCCCAACCCCGGCGTGGGCAGTTTCGATGCCGGAAAGATATTCTCTGTGCTATCGTTAAGGTATCAGAAGCGCGTATGCAAGCAGCCAGCTGGAAACCCCGATGGACGTCTTTCGCTGTTTAGACTGCATGCAGTGACAAAGATCCCGTATTTTTCTCGCGTCGAGTCGGCCGTTGCCAAAGTCAACCGCCTCAAAGAGGCGTCAATGAAAGGCTGGAGTGCGATGAATCTCGTACTGTGGAGGCCCAATCCCTGTGCGATATTGATGCCCTTGACCGTCGCTAAGACTCGGCTTCGCTGTTCCTCTCTTGGAGCGTGGCCAGCAACCGCTCGGCTCTGTAAACCCAGGGCACTATTTCATTGTTTTCCACCCGCCTTGATGGAAACGCCCTGGCCACCGTCGTTCTTGTCGCTGTTACAGAGGACGACGGTATCACGGACGAGATGGCCGACGATGCTCGCACGGCAGATGACGATACCTCTGCCTCTGGAACCACCTCCTTCTCGTCCATCGTTACCGGGATCGCCACCGCCGCCGGTGCGGCCTACGTGTTCGCAGCGTACATTGCTTTGTAACATTGCTTTCGCCCTCCCTCCTATGTAAATTGTGTGTCTCTGCGTGTTCCTTTGTTTTGTTGAATCCCTGAGAAATCGTACGACGTACCTTGCTTGTCCAGAGGGTGTGCCCCCTCATGACCATCTTGACATTCTCGTTTTGTCGATGTCTTGCTCCTCACAGTGATCCAGCGAGGCGTTTATTCGTATGTTTCCACCGCTGCTGTTTATTGCTTCGGCGTGCGTCTGAGTTGCGTTCCACCGTTTCCGACTTGATTTGAGCTTTGACCAGTTTGGGAGACTGGGATCGTAGGCCTTGACGTACCAGGCATACGTAGCGGGAAAGGCTGGGAATTTTCCGTCTTTTAGGTTGTTCGAAACCCAGGGGTGTGCGTGCGTTACTGCAGCTTTCCGCACCGGATCCAGCCGCAAAAATACGATGTGTCAGTTATCAGCAGTGTCAGCTAGTAGCATGCGCAGCCAACGGGCATCGGTGGTTCGACATTCTATTGATTTGGGACGGAAAACATTACCTTAGAGGGTCGAACGCGTGTTGGGGTGCAACCTCATGGCTGCATCCAACGTCTGGCGGTGGGGGTTTTGGGGGCACATGATGTGGTCCTTAGAGTATTCCGTTGCCGGTGAACGTGCAGTAAGGGTGGGTCCATGCATGTGTGTGCTTGCTTGGCATCTAGCGTCAAATTTTCAAACGCATGGCATAAAACTCTGTCTTCCTCGTACCACTGCCAACGAGAGATATGAAGACCGGTGGACGACATGCATGCATGCATAGGTTGTGCATCCTGCGCTGTTGGAAAGTCTGGTTCTACGCTTTTCGTCTCGTTGGCGGGTTGGCGATCGAAGTCAACTGCTGGGAACTAGCCCTGTGGGAATTATGTCATTGAGTCAGTTGCTTCAAATGACAGGGTCTCACTTAAGAGCAATCTGCCCTGGTCGAAATTGAACGGACATGTTTCAGACGCCCATATGCGTGCGTGCGAATGTCGAGGCCGAGGTGTGCGTGGCAGCGGAACGCTACCACACGCGTTAACACCGTAAATGTAACAGCGCCGGAAAAACAACCATGCGGTGACAGTGAACTACTTAATTGTCACAACATGTAGACTAATCTTCGTACAGTAGACTACTGTAATGTAGACTAATCTTCGCGAGACTGTCAAAGCATGCACCGACGGACGTCGGTACTTTACTGTATAGACTAGTCAGTGTAGCTTCAAGCCCCTAACAGTATAAAAAAAGTATACGTTGAATAAAACGTGTGGACATATCTTGTAAGCACGCCGACCCGACGAACACCTGCTCGCGACCCGTAGTATGTACTCTGAGCAATAAATCGGCATGACTCCTGCCGGTTGGCATTCAGCGTCGAACAACCGACAACCGACCGACCAATCGGTACGGATCGCGGAATCCTTTAGACATAACTAATATTACCGAATTGGACTCTTCCCAATCGGTGGAGATTTACCGAAAGCTCGGTGCACAGATGCGTTCACTACGAGGCGAGTCATTTTTGTTTTTTCCTTTGCTGGCTGCCTGCCACCTCTGCTGCCTTTTTGGTGCGGTGCCTACCATACACTAATGCGCTGGTGCATTCTGCGCTGCTGTAGTACCTGGTACTGGTGTACGTTGTCCTTCGATTTTTTTTTTTTTTTTGTGGGAATATATATGTGTTTGATTTTCGCCCCCCGTCTTGCTGCA